AACAATACATCTATACTTGCGGTGAATATCCAAATGTTTGTGATATTCTTCCTGTGTTTCAAAGCATTGGTTACATGTCTTGAATACACATTTGTATCGACACAACTTCATGTGATCATTAAATTCATTCTCTGTTAGTAAACACTTTGAACAATTGGGACAAACATAATAGTCGTTATCATTATCTCCGCCATCAGTATTACCACTCTTTAGTGATGTCTTCACTGTCTCGATGTCTGCAATTAGTTCTGGATTTGTTATCATCGGTGGACACGTATTGCTGTCACGTGTTATACGAAAAACATTACTACACTTATTAGTGATGTCTTCGTGTGTGTCGTCCATTGGGTTGTCATTAATAACCAGATTAACAGATGTGTCCACCGGTGCGGCCGTCATATCAGTAGTGATTATATGTGTATTTATATGCAATGCATAGTCGGCGAGAGTGACAAACGATTGGCCACACGAGGGATGAGTACACGTGAACAATACGCGGACATTAATTCCCGACTCTTGTGTTATAATCGCGTCTTTATTGTCTTCAGTCAAATCGATGACATCAACCGGTGTTTCACTCGTCTGTGTCTTATGGCTGCCAACGACTGTCATCTCAACACTATTCGTGTCTATTGTCTGCTGCGGTAGTGAATCGATCGATACATTCAGATCACGTGACCCGAGCTGTTGTGTGTCAACGCATTTATTTAATAGACAATGCATTTTGTGATTTGAGAGCAGTTCCGGTGACGCGAAGATCTTCTGGCATTTAATACACAATTCGCACAAATGATTGTTTAATTCATGTAATGTCTTAAACCGTTGTCCACATGACGTGAATCTACACTCATATAGAGTCCCATCTAATGAGTGATTGGTATCCAAAACGGCGTTGTCTTCAATGACATGATTTTGTGGCAGAGTTTTTCGTTTACAAGAATTATTGTTTTCATGTTTTGCGAGCAACTCTTCGGTGACAAACCTCTGGTCGCAAAAAATACACCGATATTTGCGGTGAATGTCATCAAAATGTTTGTTATATTCAGACAGTGTTTCAAATGATTGATCACAACAAGTGAATTGGTGTCGAGTGTTATCATTGATTGGTATCACCGATGGATCCGATTCGAGTGGTAAGACGTGAGCCCTTCTGTGACCCGACAGTTGTTGATGTGTTTCAAAACTCTTTGAACACTTCCCACACATATATCTGTCCGAAAGCGATGCCACAGTTGTGTCGACGGCTGCGGCGGCCATATTATAACCGGTGATGTCATGACTTGTTATATGCGATACAAACGCCTCACGAGTTGTAAACCATTGGCCGCAAGACTTATAATTGCAACCAAACAGCTGTTCATTGCTATCAATCACTGTCTTTGGTATCATTAATGTAATTAAAGACACTTTAAGTTTGCCATCGATTGTAATCTCATAACTCTTCGGTTCCATTGTCTGCTTCCGTGGTATCTATCTATCGGCTAATAAGACACTCAGTTATCTCTTCACAACTTTGACATAAAATCTTCTGATATTTTGACAACAATTTCATCAAAACTTTAATTCAATTGTCATTTAAATCACAATTCAATCAAACATTTCATACAAACTATTATTTGTATACAAATTTTGTAAACAAAATATTCGTCCATAAATTATGTCCACAAATAAAAGTATGTCTTTCAGTAAATCATTGATAACTTTTTATAATTTTTCTAATATTTAATATTTTATTTAATTACTGTTTAATAGTAATAAACACTTCAATCATTTGCCATTTTAAATACATTTAGTGTTAAAATAAATACAATATTTATTACAATTTATAAATCGTTTTTTATGAGAAATCAAACACTTTTGATATTTAGTCTTAAACTGACAGCCGTTGACATCGCATGGTATGGCCGGAGCCGTGGGTACGACCAGATGTGAGCGCAGAGACAGTGCATTCTTGAATCGACGGTCACATCCGGGCCAATGACAGGGGAATGGCTTAGCGGTGGTGTGAGTGCATCGATGAAGAGATAGGCATATAGTTGGTCCTGTATTGACAGTCAATTGCACACCTCTTATGTGATAATAGATTTATTTAAATGACAACACAATTGTCTCTGAATTGACAGTTCCGGTGACGCGAAGATATTCTGGCATTTAATACACTTATATTTTACACACAAATGATTGTTATATTCATTAAATGTCTTAAACCGTTGTCCACATGACGTGACTCTACACTCATATAGAGTCCCAACTAATGAGTGATTGGCGTCCGAAACGGCGTTGTCTTCAATCATATCATTTTTTTGGCAACATTTTTCGTTTACACGAATACTTTAGATGTGATGCAAATTTCTCTTCAGCGATAAACCTCAGGTCGCAAACAATACACCGAAATTTGCAGTGAATGTCATCCAAATGTTTGTGATATTCTTCCAGAGTATCAAAGTATTGGTCACACGATATGATTCCACAGTGATGTCGATCAGGTGTATAGGGTTTCTGTTGAGGAGCCAAAGGGTTGTGTGGAGACAACTCTTGATGTTTTGTCAAATTATTTCCACACAAAGAACTGTTAGTATTTTTTAATACACAAATCATTTTGTGTTTTAACAGCATTTCCATTGACGCGAATCTGTTCTCACATTTAATGCATTTGTATTTGTAGTGCATTTCATTCAAATGCCGGTCGTATTCTCGAGAGGTCTCAAATCGTTGGCCGCAAACCTTGAATGAGCACTGAATGAAAGCGTGTGGAGTGTTATCATTGATTGGTATCACCGGTGGATCCGATTCCAGTGGTAAGACGTGAGCCCATGTTGTGTGATCCGACAGTTGTTGATGTGTTTCAAAACTCTTTGAACACTTCCCACACATATATCTGTTAGTAATTGTGTCGGAAAGCGATGCCATAGATGTGTCGACCGCTGCGGTGCTCCTCATATCATCGCTCATCTCATGTGTCTTTATATGCGATACAAACGCCTCACGAGTTGTGAACCATTGGCCACACGAGGCGTGAGTGCAACCAAACAGCTGTTCATTGCTATCAATCACTGCCTTTGGTATCCATAGTCTAACTAAAGAGACCTCGAGTTTATTAATACCATCGATTGTCTTCTCAATGCTCTTCGACAAATGCAATAAATGTGAGAACAACTTCGCGTCACCGGAACTGCTGTTCAAACACAAAATGCGTTGTCTATTAAATGAAATATTAATTAAATCCACACATGATTTAAATGTATCAACCGATTCACTACCGAAGCAAACACTAGACAACACAAGTGTTGAGATGGCCATCGATGGCAGCAATAAGACACAGACGAGTGAACCACCGGTTGATGTCATCGATTTGACTGATGATAATGAAGACGCGGTTATAACACAAGAGTCGGTCAATGAAACAATCGCTGGATTTAATGTCAACATATTGTATACGTGTACTCATCCCTCGTGTGGCCAATTGTTTACAACTCATGACGAGTGTTCAGCGCATATGAAGACACATGAGATCACGTATTATGTGCTGAGTGCCGCACCGGTGGACACATCTGTAGCTTTGGTTATAAATGATAACCCAATAGACGGCACACACGAAGACATCACTAAGAAGTGTAGTAATGTTTTTCGTATAACACGTGACAGCACTCCGTGTCTACCGACGACACAAACTCAGGACACGAGCGGACTGTATCCCTGTTCACTGAAGCACTCATGCAATCAATGGTTCAAAACACAGGAAGAATATAAAAATCACTGCATTGTTAGCCATAAAAATTACATTATTTCACAAAACCTAGTGTTGACCGCAAATGGTTTGGTATCTCACAAAACAGATGGTAATAACACGTCAAATGAGGCCAATGTTGCCTTTAGGATGAGATGTTTGACCGAAGATTGTGAACAAGTGTTTACCGCAAAGACAGCGGTCATTTACCACTTGATTAACGATCACTTAAAAACCACTATATTTGTGTGCGAAATGTTTGGTTGCGATGAGTTGTATGTGACGTACGAAGAGTTTCTTGAACACAGACTTGAAGTGCACAACATTAAGACACAAATACGTTGCGGGAATCGCGAGCATTGGATGAAAAAGACTAACCAATTGGTCAATCGGTATATCGACAAAGAACGGGGCGTTAAGCCATACCTCTGCGCTCACGAGGGCTGTGGTAAACGGTTCGCGCGAAACGATTCTCTTCGAAATCACACCGAATGTCACACAGTAGTTGACCGACGGTTCAAATGCGACGTTTGCGGCAAATTGTTTAAAAGGGCCGACACTTTAAACACACACGTAATTCGCATTCACGAATATATCGGCCAACCGGCCACGTGTGCCGAACCGGGCTGTGGCCGCACATTCAAATCGAATCTATCACTTCGCGCACACATCAAGCGTATACACTCGGGTCGTGAATACCGATGCGATTGGCCGGACTGTGGCTATCGGGGCCGACACGAGCAGGCATTCCGCGATCACGTGCGCAGACATACCAATGACAAGCCATTCGCGTGTCGGGCGCCGGGATGTGAGTACAGGACTCACTCCAAGCCACTTCTATGGTATCATAACCGCAGTAAACACACCACTGATAAACCATTTACTTGCGATTGGCCCGCGTGTGAGTACAGGTGTAAGTATAAGGTGTTACTCCGACAACACGTTCGCATTCACACGCGCACGCACTCCAACGACAAACAGTATGCGTGTGATTGGCCCGCATGTGACTACAAGTGCCGCTATAAACCGAACTTATATCTTCATCAAAAGTCTACTCACATCTCCGATAAGCTATATGAGTGCGATTGGCCCGCGTGTAAGTACAACACGTACTTTAAGGCCAATCTATCGCAACATCGAAGCACTCACAGCAACGATAAGCCAGTGGTGTGTCATTGGCCCGGATGTGAGCAACGGTTTAAAAACAATATGTCTCTCAATGGCCACATGTATGTCCACCGGGAGCCACACTTACGGTGCGATATCAACGGCTGTCACTATAAGACTAGATATAAATGTAATTTAATTACACATAAGAAACACAATCATTAATTGTAATTAATATTAATTTTATTGTTTTGCTATTTGTATAATAAATGTCAAATTAAATGTTATTAAAATCGTAATTATAATCATTAAAAATATTAATGTTTGCGTTCATTGGCCCGGATATGACCATCGGTTCAAGAATGCACTGTCTGTGCGCTCACATCTGGTGTACACACGGCTCCGGCCATACCATTAGGGTGACCAGACGTCCTCCGTTACGGAGGATTGTCCTCCAATCGACCCTTTTTGGCACCGTCCTCCGTCTACCTTACGGAGGACTATACTTTGTCCTCCGTTACGGTTTTGGAGATGAAAATATACTTTTTATACATAATATGTTTTAGTTTTTCCCACATATATGATCATATTTTTAAAACTTATCATGTTTTAATCAAATACATAGTATTCATCAACTTTAACTTATATATTAGTGACCGCTAATTACAATCAAAAATCAATCACATATAGCACTATTAATACTCATACTAGTAATTACAGTAACTAGTAATACAAAGTATATAAGTGGACGCCTGCACTAAAAATCAACAACAGTTAAGTGCATAGCGTCTTTAAACAACAATAAATTAAATTAAATTCAATAAATCCAAAACATGACAACTTTCTATTCTTACTAAATAGTGAGTAATACTGCTATGTAATGTTTTTGATATTCCGCCATTAATCTTCTACCGGTTGTATATAATTACACCACTTCGATTAAAATAAATATTTATATATTTTTACATTAGGTTTGGTTTCACCTAAATTATGCCTAAAATTGCTATTTTTATCTATTTTGAACGCATTTCAAACTCATAATATCATGTGAGATACAAACCCACCAATTAATACAAAAAATAATGTGTCCTCCGTGCGTCCTCCGCTAGGAACTAAATTTTGAGTAAATGTCCTCCAATTCTCTAAAAATTTCTGGTCACCCTACATACCATGCGATGGAAACGGCTGTCAGTTTAAGACTAATCAAAAGTAAGTTAATTACTCTCAAAATGTTGTGACACTCGCATACAATCTCTTTCTTTCTGATTCACATTCATTCATAAATTTTATTTATTTTTAAGAATTGCTTAACATTTATAATGAATTATAAAACGACACAAAAACAGACAATTGAAATAAATAATCATTTATTAAAACTAAATAATCAATTACATTGAAATATTTGACCCCATTCTCAAAATGAATAGCTCTTAAAAGTGCATGGTTGTATTTTATAAACCCTAAACTCTCGGAATAACACAATTATATTAAAATGGTAACCGGGCAGTTGTGTCAACATTGATGCATTGTTAGGTAAATATGAATACAGGTATCTTTTATTTTATTTTTATTAATTCATTCTTTTATTTAATTACTGTACAAAAGTAGTGAACACTTCAATCAATTGTTATTTTATGTTTCAACATATTTAAAATAAATACAATATTTATTACAATTTATGAATTGATTTTTTATGAGAAATCAAACACTTTTGATATTTAGTCTTAAACTGACAGCCGTTGACATCGCATGGGATGGCCGGAGCCGTGTGTACGACCAGATGTGAGCGCACAGACAATGAATTCTTGAACGTTCGGTCACATCCGGGCCAATGACAAGAGTATGGCTTAGAAGTGGTGTGAGTGCTTCGATGAAGAGATAGATAGGTCTTAGAGTACGTGTTGTATTGACACGCGGGCCAATCGCACTCATATGTCTTTCCCGTTCTGTGAATAGACCGTTGATGGAGATATATGTTTGGTTTATAGCGACATTTATAATCACATGCGGGCCAATCACACGCATACGGTTTGTCGCCGCCGACATGAGTGCTGGCGTGTTGTCGGAGTAGAGTCTTGTACTTACACGTGTACTCACACGCGGGCCAATTACAAGCAAATGGTTTATGAGTCATGTGTTTATTGCGGTTATGATACCAGAGAACTGTCTTGGAGTGAGCCCTATACTCACATCCCGGCGCCCGACACGCGAATGGCTTGTCATTGGTATGTCTGCGCACGTGATCGCGAAATGGCTGCTCGTGTCGGCCCCGATAGTCACAGTCCGGCCAATCGCACCGGTATTCCCGACCCGAGTGTAAACGCTTAATGTGTGCGCGAAGTGATAGATCCGATTTGAAGGCCCGACCACAGCCCGGTTCCGTACACTTGATCTTTGGTTGGCCGACACACTCGTGGACCTGATATTTGTGTGTCTGTAGTGTTTTGCGTAACTTAAAACTTAAGCCACACTCTTTATAATCGCAAACAAACGGTCGAATAGTTGAGTGACTTATTTTTACATGACTTTTAAGGTATTGATAAATTGGGAACCGTTTACCACAGCCCTCATGAGTACAGACGTATGGTTTAATACCCAGACTTTTATCGATATGCCGTTCAACCAATAGCCGACTCTTCTGCGTCCACACGCCATCATTAATAGCAATCTTCAGTTTGTGAACTCGAAGGCAGTGTTCAACGAAAGCGTCGGACATCACAAACAACTGACCGCATCGCCAGCCGTCGCACTCATAGATAGTGTATATTTGGTGATCATTTACCACGTGTTTAATGGCTGTTGACTTGTCGGTGAACTCTTGGCCGCAGTTATCGGTCAGACATTTCATTTGGAAAGAGTTGGTCTCAATCGGCGACACTATCGATGAATTAACAAATTGTTTACTTGTATCTAAGACCACGGCGTGTGTCGTCGAGTCTGATTCGGAGCCCTGTATTGAAATTGAGTTATCATTTCTAACCAAAGCTACAGATGTGTCCACCGGTGCGGCCGTCATATCAGTAGTGATTATATGTGTGTTTATATGCAATGCATAGTCAGCGAGTGTGACAAACGATTGGCCACACGAGGGATGAGTACACGTAAACAATACGCGGACAGTAATCCCAGCGATTGTTTGATTGATCGACTCTTGTGTTATAACCGCGTCTTCGTTATCATCAGTCAAATCGATGACATCAACCGTTGATTCACTGGTCTGTGTCTTATGGCTGCCATCGACTGTCATCTCAACACTATTCATGTCTATTATCTGCTTCGGTAGTGAATCGGTCGATACATTCAGATCCTGTGACCCGTGATGTGTGTCAACGGATTTATTTAATAGACAATGCATTTTGTGTGTTAACAGCAGTTCCGGTGACGCGAAGCTGTTCTCACATTTATTGCAATTGTATTTGTAGTGCATTTCTTTCAAATGTCGCTTAAGTTCATCAAATGTCTGAAACAGTTGTCCGCAAGCCTTGAGTAAGCACTGAATGAAGGGGTGCTGTGATGTTGTGGTCGGCGGACAATTGTATCGATGCTCTGTCAGCAACACTTCGGCGATAAACCTCTGGTCGCAAACAATACACCGATATTTGCGGTGAATTTCATCCAAATGTTTGTGATATTCAGACAGTGTTTCAAATAATTGATCACAACAAGTGAATTGGTGTCGAGTGTTATCATTGATTGGTATCACCGGTGGATCCGATTCCAGTGGTAAGACGTGAGCCCTAGTTCTGTGATCCGACAGTTGTTGATGTGTTTCAAAACTCTTTAAACACTTCCCACACATATATCTGTTAGTATTTGTGTCGGAAAGCGATGCCATAGTTGTGTCGACCGCTGCGGCGCCCGTCATCTCATCGCTCATCTCATGTGTGGTTATATGCGATACAAACGCCTCACGAGTTGTAAACCATTTGCCGCAAGACTTATAATTGCAACCAAACAGCTGTTCATTGCTATCAATCACTGTCTTTAGTATCATTAATGTGATTAAAGATACTTTAAGTTTGCCATCGATTGTAATCTCATAACTCTTCGGTTCCATTGTCTGCTTCCGTGGTATCTGTTTATCGGCTAATAAGACACTCAGTTATCTCTTCACAACTATGGCATCAAATCTTCTGATATTTTGACAACGATTTCATCAAAACTTTAATTCAATTCTCATTTAAATCACAATTCAATCAAACATTTCATACAAACTATTATTTGTAATACAATACATTAATTTGTAAACAAAATAATATTTTTCTAATTCGTTCATAAAATATGTCCACAAATAAAGTATTTCTTTCATTAATTCAGTAAAAGGCTTATAAATCATTGATATTTTAAATAATTTTTCTATTGTTTAATATTTTATTTAATTATTGTTTAATAGTAATAAACACTTCAATCATTTGCCATTTGAAATACATTTAGTGTTAAAATAAATACAATATTTATTACAATTTATGAATTGATTTTTTATGAGAAATCAAACACTTTTGATATTTAGTCTTAAACTGACAGCCGTTTCCATCGCATGGTATGGCCGGAGCCGTGTGTACACCAGATGTGAGCGCACAGACAGTGCATTCTTGAACCGACGGTCATATCCGGGTCAATGAACGCAAACATTAATATTTTTAATGATTATAATAACGATTTTAATGAAATTTAATTTGACATTTATTATACAAATAGCAAAACAATAAAATTAACATTAATTACAATTAATGATTGTGTTTCTTATGTGTAATTAAATTACATTTATATCTAGTCTTATAGTGACAGCCGTTGATATCGCACCGTAAGTGTGGCTCCCGGTGGACATACATGTGGCCATTGAGTGACATATTGTTTCTAAACCGTTGCTCACATCCGGGCCAATGACACACCACTGGCTTATCATTGCTGTGAGTGCTTCGATGCAGCGCTAGACTGGCCGTAGAGTACGTGTTGTACTTACACGCGGGCCAATCGCACTCATATGTCTTACCCGTTCTATGAGTGGACCGTTGATGAAGATTTAGGTTTGATTTATGGCTACATTTATAATCACATGCGGGCCAATCACATGCATACGGTTTGGCGCCGCCATGAGTGCCGGCGTGTTGTCGGAGTAAAACCTTATACTTACACCTGTACTCACACGCGGGCCAATCGCAAGCAAATGGTTTATCAGTGGTGTGTTTATTGCGGTTATGATACCAAAGAACTGTATTAGAGTGAGACCTGTACTCACATCCCGGCGCCCGACACGCGAATGGCTTTTCATTGGTATGTTTGCGCACGTGTTCGCGGAACGAGCCCTCGTGTCGGCCCCGATAGTCACACTCCGGCCAATCGCACCGATACTCACGCCCGGAGTGCACACACTTAATATGAGCGGCAAGTGTTAACTCATGTTTGAAGGCCCGGCCACAGCCCGGTTTCGTACATTTGATCTTTGGTTGGCCGACACACTCGTGGACACGATATTTGTGTGTCTGAAGTGTTTTGCGTAACTTAAAACTTAAGCCACACTCTTTATAATCGCAAACAAACCGAATGGTTGAGTGACTTGTTTTAACATGACTTCTAAGGTGTCCATAAATTGGGAACCGTTTACCACAGCCCTCATGAGTACAGACGTATGGCTTAATACCCTGACTTTTATCGATATGCTGTTCAACCAATAGCCGACTCTTCTGCGTCCACACGCCATCATTAAAAGCAATCTTCAGTTTGTGAACTCGAAGGCAGTGTTCAACGAAAGCGTCGGACATCACAAACAACTGCCCGCATCGCCAGCCGCCGCACTCATAGATAGTGTAGATGTGATGATCATTTACCATATGTTTAATTGCTGTTGACTTGTCGGTGAACTCTTGGCCACAGTTATCGGTCAGACATTTCATTTGGAAAGAGAGTGTTCCGACATTTGATCCGACATTTTGGTTGATAACAGATCTAATTAAGTGACGACACAATTGTTTGTGAATTGAGAGCAGTTCCGGTGACGCGAAGGTCTTCTGGCATTCAATACACTTCAGTTTTACACACAAATGATTGTCAAATTCATTAAATGTCTTAAACCGTTGTCCACATGACGTGACTCTACACTCATATAAAGTCCCAAATAATGAGTGATTGGCGTCCGAAACGGCGATGTCTTCAATCATATCATTTTTAGGCAGAATTGTTCGCGCGGTTGAAATGATGCCATTTTTATGGCTAACAATGCAGTGATTTTGATATTCTTTCAGTGTTTTGAACCATTGATTGCATGAATTAAATGAACAGTGATATCGATTCATGTCCTGAGTTTGTGTCAGCGGTAGACACGCATTGCTGTCACGTGTTATACCAAAAACATTACTACATTTCTTAGTGATGTCTTCGTGTGTGTTGTCTATTGTATTGTCATTTAAAACCAAATTAACAGATCTGTCCACCGGTGCGGCCGTCATATCAGAAGTGATTATATGTGTGTTTATATGCAATACATAGTCGGCGAGAGTAACGAACGATTGGCCACACGAGGGATGAGTACACGTAAACAATACGCGGACAGTAATCCTAGCGATTGTTTGATTGACCGACTCTTGTGTTATAACCACGTCTTCATTATCATCAGTTAAATCGATGACATCAACCGGTGTTTCACTGGTCTGTGTCTTATGGCTGCCATCGACTGTCATCTCAACACTATTCGTGTCTATTGTCTGCTTCGGTAGTGAATCGGTCGATACATTCAGATCCTGTGACCCGTGATGTGTGTCAACGGATTTATTTAATAGACAATGCGTTTTGTGTGTTAACAGCAGTTCCGGTGACGCGAAGCTGTTCTCACATTTATTGCAATTGTATTTGTAGTGCATTTCTTTCAAATGTCGCTGAAGTTCATCAAAAGTCTGAAACCGTTGTCCGCAAGCCTTGAGTAAGCACTGAATTGGCGGACAATTGTATCGATGCTCTTCCAGCAACACTTCGGCGATAAACCTCTGGTCGCAAACAATACACCGATATTTGCGGTGAATTTCATCCAAATGTTTGTGATATTCAGACAGTGTTTCAAACCCTTGACCACAAGAAGTGAACATACATTTGTGTGGAGTATTATCATTGATTGGTATCACCGGTGGATCCGATTCCAGTGGTAAGATGTGAGCCCAAGTTCTGTGACCCCACAGTTGGTCATGTGTTTCAAAACTCTTTGAACACTTCCGACACATATATTGGTTATTATTTGTGTCGACCGCTGCGACGCCCGTCATCTCATCGCTCATCTCATGTGTCTTTATATGCGATACAAACGCCTCACGAGTTGTAAACCATTGGCCACACGAGGCGTGAGTGCAACCAAACAGCTGTTCATTGCTATCAATGGCTGTCTTTGGTATCATTAATGTAATTAAAGATACTTTAAGTTTGCCATCGATTGTAATCTCATAACTCTTCGGTTCCATTGTCTGCTTCCGTGGTATCTGTTTATCGTCTAATAAGACATTCAGTTATCTCTTCACAACTTTGGCATAAAATCTTCTGATATGTTGACAACAATTTCATCAAAACTTTAATTCAATTGTCATTTAAATCACAATTCAATCAAACATTTCATACAAACTATTATTTATAAACTTATAAACAAACATTGGTTTTAATTCATTCATAAATTATGTCCAAAATATAAATGATTTGAATTGAGTTTTATTAGAAAGGGTTTCATTTGTTTTGCATTTTGTGAACATTTTCTATGGGATTGTTTGAACTCATGGTTTGACTTCATTATTGTTTACAATTTATATTTAATCGTAGTTTCAATTAATTAAATGAAAGTTTGATTGAATTAGTGGTAAAAATGAGTGAAATATTGATCAATGATTTGGTGGAAGAGTTGAGTGAAGAAAACCTCCGACTATTGAATGGCATATCATTTGAGAGACAATTGAATGAAATGTTAGAAAATATCGCAAAATATTCATTGGATTTGAAAACCAATTGTTTTTGTGAACGAAATAAACAGACATTTGTTTNAAAATATTCATTGGATTTGAAAACCAATTGTTTTTGTGAACGAAATAAACAGACATTTGTTTTGTTGAATGATTTGCACTCAAAATACATGACATTTAGAGATAATCCAAGACTCGGATCAGTTGGCAATACATCTACAGATCACATGACTATCACCCCAATTGGTCAACCGGTAAAGAGGCCAAGAGGTCGACCGCGAAAAAGACCAAGAGTTGAGACACAAACTCACGACACGAGTGGATGCGATGGCCAACCAATGGATGACACAAATGATGGACAACTGATTGACACCAAAGATCACTTGACGGCTGACGCGACTGGCGATCACACAAAGACATCGTCTGCGAGAAAACCTGAGTTTTGGTTCAAGTGTTTGGCCGAAGACTGCGATTACGAGTTCATCGCAAAGATATCACTGATTGAACACATGAAGAATAGTCACCGAATCCAAGACACGTACGAATGCGATGATTGCGATGACATGTTTCTGACCACAGATGCGCTCAATCAACACAAACACCAAACTCATAGTCTTAAGCCATTTGTGTGCACTCATGAGTCCTGTGGGATGTGTTTTATAAAAGAGTCTACACTTAAGCAACACATTCTGGCCATTCATACATCGAGTGGTGAACAAAGCCTTGAGGGTAACGATAATCGGGAAGACTTGTCTGGATCTGATGTCGTGATCGATGACACGGATGATAGCGATAGTGATTATGTGGCACCAGTTGGCCGTCCGGGCAGTGAATTCAAGTGCGATTACGTGGGATGCGATCGAGTGCTGTCTTCATCGCAAGCGTTCCGAAGACACCAATTGACACATTCTGTGGACAAGCCGTTCAAATGTCCGGTCACTGGCTGTCACTTTCAGACTATCCGTCGCTATAAACTACGGAATCATTTGGACAAACATTCCGTCGGTGATCAGCCCTATCTGTGCGCTGTCGAGGGTTGTGGTGAGTCCTGTTTCAGCGCCGAAGACCTGAGTAGACACCACCGACTGAGGCATAAGTGGCTGAAGAATCCCATTCATAGACCAGTGATGAGAAAGAAAGAGAAGAAATTCAAGTGCTCTCACGTTGGATGCGATGCAGTGATGACACACAGAGATCTGAAGAGACACCAGTGGACGCATACGGCGGACCGACCGTTCAAATGTCACGCCATTGGCTGCGAGTTTAAGTGCATACGAAGGGGTCAAATGGAAGGACACGTGATGACCAAACATACCGCCGATGAGTTCACTGATAACAGTTACTACAGATATAATAGTCTCGAAGACACTTCTGGAGATGATCTCGACGTTAGTGTCGGCGCCAATGATTCTATGGATAATTCGTTAATTGGCGGCGCTTTTCAATGCGATTACGAGGACTGCCGTAAAGTGTGTTCCGAGTGGTCGACACTAAAGCGCCACAAATTGACGCATTCTGCGGAAAGACCGCACAAATGTCCGGCCATTGACTGCCAGTTCCAGACCATACGGCCGTATCAGCTGCGCAACCATATGAAGCGTAAGCACGAAGGCGTCGCTTACTATTGGTGTCCGCGCTATAGTTGCGGTAAACTGTTTCTAACCGATGAAGAACTCGCCGAACATACTGTCGACAATCACAGCCAATCGCCAGTTCCTGTTAGTGGCCAGTCGTCGGCCAAAGTGTTTTCGTGCGGTTTCATTGGTTGCAACAAAAAGTTTGCGAAAAAATGTGACCTAATTGGACACCGATTCACACACACGGGTGACAAGGAGTTCCAGTGCACGGCCGAGGGCTGCGCCGAGCGGTTCGCGCGGCGCGCCTACTTGAACGACCA